TCACACGTGTGTCGTCAGTCCCAGATCTCATGTGTACACTCTTTCACTTGTGTCTAGCCCCAGCAGGCAACTATTAAGCCCGACCAATCACGTTAGAGTGAATGAATTAACACACTCCAAATAACCACGCTAACCAACCTGATTGGTCAAGCTTAATAGTTGCCTGCTGGGGCTAGACATTTCTACTTTTTCCGACGTCGCAACATGTGGGCTCACTTGGGCCCACGTGGAATAGCGTGGCGTCGCGTAGCGTGTGGCCTAATGGGGTCCCGGCTTAATTGTTCTAAACAGAAATATCTCATTTTAAGTTTTAATCAACTTATGATTTTGAAAAAGAATGCACTAATGATAAGTACATATAATTTTTAAAGGTAACATAATCTTTTAAAAATATTATACTTTATTGTTAATTGGATCACACAATTAACACATATTATATAAATTTGTGAAATTGTATCAAATGTGTAAGTTTTAGAATATCATTTAGACTGTATATGATAGAATTTTCTTTATTTAGTATAATCTAATTTTAAAGATTACCAAATTAGACGAACAAAAAAAAATTATATCTTTTGAAGGCTATTAAGTTACATTATTAGTTACATTGTATTTTCAGTAAGTTTTCTCTAATCTAAATTTATCTCTTAATCTATATTTGTTTGCTCCTGTTTGATGAGTGATGAGTGGGACTGGTCTTGGTGTTGATCTTGCACAAAAAGCAAGAGCAAAGTTTCTCAGGACTTACGACCAAGAAAAAACAAAGATTTTTCTTGATTTAAGACAATATTCGGACTGTCACGGGGTTTTTAACAGGACACTGCCTTCTCAATGAACACCTCAGTAGATTGTAGCTAAGAAAAAACGGTGAATGCAGATTCTGTGGGGAGAATGGGGAAACACCAGAACACCTTATCATTGAGTGCGCCGGGACGCATTTATGCAAAATGTACCATTATTTAGTCCATAATGTGATTTTCCCTGCTCTCATTGATCGAGACTAAACGCTGGTGCGTTTTGCCAAACATGACTAAAATGCGGTACATTTTGCGACGTTAGCGTGAGACATTCCAAACGCAGGTACATGTTGCTAAACTTTACTAAAACGGGGTGTATTATGCCTGAGATCGAATGGCATTAACCTTTTCAATAGCCCTGAGAAAAATTCGCCAAAAACACGCCACCGTTATACGCTTTTCTCAAGTAGTTTTCATTAGACAGACGTTGTTTTTGTGTGTTTGAATAAACATTAGCATTTTTAATTGATATCTACCATGACATCTGAAGGTTTGACGTATATTTTACCGGATCAATTTCGATTCAGTGTAAAATTAGTTTTGGTTTAAGGTAGCTTTAGGTTTAAGGTATTATTTATGCTGAACTAAAAACAGAAGAAGATTGCGACGCATGGATTTCAGAATTTTCGCGACTAAATTCGGTTGCCTGGATTGTACGGCGAACTTTTACTTTGTTCTTTCCGTATTGGACAGGCTGTATGGAGGTGGCTTTGGGACAAAAATCACGCAGTTTCCAAAGAAGATCGACCATTATTATACAGGGTGGCGCACCTCATTCGCCTCGGTTGATGTAGAAACAACATTTTTTATGGGTATATGTAGAGAAACAATGTGCATAATTTAAAATTATTTTGAAATGTACAGGGTGTGTTAGAACTAAGATCCATACTATTCATTTTACAGATACAGATCCATACTATTTCATTTTATTTAATTTTTGGATTCTTGGGCTTAAAATAAGGCATTTATTATAAGAGTTTAATATGTTTAGATGCTTTGGTTTTTGAGATATTTAAAGACATTTAAATATGCATGCTCTAATAAAAAACGTTTGTCAACACCCTGTACATTACTTTTCAGAGTTTATTCTTGTGGTGACTTTGAAGCCAGAGAAATTAACTTTACTAAAACAATGTATTGCTTTTTTAAATGTTAACAGGGGTATCAAAAATTGCTCGTCTATTTTAAATATATATTTTACATAAAAACTTCGTTATTTCTATGTATGATGCAATTTTTGATACCCCTGTATACATTTAAGGAAGCAATCAAATTTTTTAGTAAGGTTTATTTCTCGGGCTTGAAAGTCAGCACAAGAATTAATTCTGAAAAGTAATGTACATGGTGTTGACAAACTTTTTTATCATAGCATGCATATTTAAATATCTTTAAATATCTCAAAAACCAAAGCATTTAAACATATTAAACCCTTATAATTAATGCCTTATTTTATGTTCAAAAATCCAAAAATGAAATAAAATACCTGGTGTTCCGTAAGAAAAAATATAACTTTGGTAGGCATCTTTACTTCTGATACACCTTATACATTTCAAAATAATTTTAAATTATGTACATTGACCACATATACCTGTCTGTGTTACAGAGGCGCCACGACAGACGGAAATCAAACAAACAATTTTTCAGAAGTGTCTGAATATTTTTATAAAATAGGCGTTTTTTTAACATTTCACGCTGGTCCTAAAAAGACGATCAAATATTAAATATATATAATAGGATAATTCTGTGGTCAATCCTAAAAATCAAAGATTTTAATAATGGCGTTTATAACATGTTAGTGTAATCTGCATTGTCCTTAAAACATTTGCATGATGCTGGAAAGAATATGGCAGAACGTACCACGTTTTTGTCACGGTTGGCAAAACGCACCAGCGTTTAGTCTCAACCAATGAGAGCAGGGAAAATCATATTATGGACTATATAATGGTACATTTTGCTTAAATGCCGCCGGGACGATAACCATTAGTGCCATAAACTTTGGTAGGACTGATATTCGAAATGGAGAACTACCCTCTGTAAAAGCGTCTCAGATACTGACTTTTGTCAAAGCTCTGGGACTGTATGATGAATCGTATCTCAAGAAAGGGGAGCGCAATAGATCTGTAAAGCCCCGCTGATTAGGCCCCCTCCCACTCATTCTGCATTCTACATGATAGCCGTATTAAAATACCTACTTAAAACAGTTTTTTGTCGAAACATACCGAATATTGCCGTGTTACAGCGCTTTTAGATGGAGCGGACCGTCCGCGCTGCCCTTCCGCGAGTTCGAGCAAGTACCATGAGTTCATATAAACAATTTCACATGGGTCGCGTAGGCTCCGTCCGGATGTTGTTCATATAAACTCGTGGTACTTACTCGAAGTCGGAATCTGAAAGCGCTGTTAAGGTGCTCATGTTTTTTGAACCAATCAAATCAATAAATATGGTATAAAGAATGATTTATTTGTATAATCTAATATTGTTTTCCCGAATTTTGCAAAGAATTTTAAACCAATCAAAGCTGATTCAAAATACTATATCGAAAAATAAAAATTTTTATCATACAAATATATTATTTTTTCTCTAATGTTTCCTTTGCATTAAATTAATTAAAATACTGTTATTTAAATATTTTTTGTGTAGAAAGTCCTGGTAGAAAGTGCTTCTAAAAAATATATATTTAAAAAAGTACCTCGCAAGACAAAGCCCAAGACTACAATTAGAATGCAAGACCAAGAAAAAGACTAAGAGCTTTGTCTTGCAGGTGCTCATCACTACTTATCATTACAACAATCTAGTAAATAAATTACTTGATGTCTCTCTAACAGGTAAACCAACTTTTTTAACATGTAAAATAGTTTTGTTATTAATTAGAAGGTTCTGAAAATTATTTTAAAATGGATATAAAAATGGTTATATAATTAGTTTTAAAATAAAATTACAGTATGAATAAGTTTGAGTTCAAATTTTCAGAAGCTCAGAAAAAAATATTATATCTCCATATCAAGTCAAAAAATAATTATTAATGTCTCTAGTATACGAAAATGGTACGATACAATATTTCTCTCATTTAGGTCATCTATCTAAATTTCCTAGTTTATTGGATCTTCTTTATTGGAGTGAATTACTTACTATCCGACAAAAATAACTGTAAATATATTTTACAGGGTGTTTTTCCATTATCTCGATGAAAAACCGACTTTTTGGGTTAGTGTGTTAGTGTCTGCCGTGTGTGGATTCCTTCTTAAACGAAAGTTTATCAAACCCGGCCGTCTCAATCGGTAAAATGTTTTATATCGTATTTATACGTAGGCAGAGACTGGTAGTTTTAAAGAAGAACTCTCAGAACTGGTTAAAACCGTATTTGGTGATGTCGATCTTCCTTCAATCTACGTACTACTTATTCTGTATCTAGTTAATGACTTTCAAACTAATTTGAGGCTTTTCTACTCATCTCGGTGCAAATCGAAGTGCAAATTAATTTTAAAAATATCAATATTAAAAAGAGTCGCGGTAAACCTTCCAAGTAAAAACAAAAAATCATTATAACCATAAAAAATCATGTTATCCCAAATAACTGCCAAACATTTAAAAGTTTAGTTACATTTTCTATAAATAAATGTTCATTTTCTAATCTAAAAGAAATAATTTATATTTGACCAATTTGACATTACATTGTGAGACCCAAACCAAACACCCCGACAATGAAAACGAATCTAACAACAATAGTAGTTTGTTCTTAGTGGCTAACATCAGATGTAAAGAAGTCAAGAAAGTGTCAAGAATATTTGAAACCGTTTTACGCTTTGGAAATGGTAGTTTAAAAACCACAATTTAGAACAAAACTAATATGATTTATAAAAAAAACAAGAATTAAAATAATATCTTTAGGTAAATTTTAATTCAAAAATAAATCGTCATAAAAATGCCTACACTCCTAATAATTTTAACTACGAAACGAAATATCAGGAGGATTTTTAACACGAAACTGAATATCAGGAGGATTTTTTCATACCTTCTTCAAAACAGAAACTTGGGCGCGTTGAGAACAACCAGCAGGGGTGATATTATTTCAAGAAAATAGTATTTCATTACCGATGATTTAGAACTAAACCAATATGATGTTATATAAAAAAAGGGCAAGTTACTAATAGGTAAATTTAACAATGCATCATTAAAAAAAATTGTAATTGAAAAAGGGGTACGTACCTCTTAGGTAAGGAGAATCTACGATGTCTGAAGACGTAATCCATCTTTAAGATGCTTTCAATGTCTCTGTTATTTCAATTAAAGATCACTCATCACAAAATCATGTCCAGTTTCTGTCATAGAACTTATTTTCATTCATCAAAATCAACTTATCATACGAAGAATTGTCTATAACAAAACGAAACAGAGGATGCTTTCGAATCTCGTACCAAACTGAAACTTGGGGCCGATGGGAAGAACCAGCGGCAGCAGTCAATGCTGAGTCTCCCTCTCGTACTCTACTTCCGCTACGGTTCTGTCTCCTGCTACCACGTTTAGCCTACTCTGATGGTCGATGGTGTTGATGGTCGATGTCTGGGATAGTCGTGGTTCACTGCCGATGACGGCAGGCTAACGGACGTACGTATATGCTGGTACCATGAAACGGACCCATTGCACAAAAGAAGTACCGTACGAACAAGATATTCAATAAATGGAGTAGGCGGTAGGTTCAGATTTTTTGTTTTTGTTAAGACCTACCTTAATAATGTTAACTGCTCGTTATTAGACAGATAATAGTTTTCAGTTATGGAACTTTGGTCATTTGTAATATTCCTAGTATACAGGGTGGCGCCTCTCATACGGCGCGGAGGCTCTAAGGAGAACGACAGTTTGTATTAAAATGAAATTTTGTGAGCATATATGTAAATTAATTCAGAGCACTTTTTAAAATTATAGAGAGTTCTAAAGGGTGTCCCCCAAAAAAATACATATCAAAGTTGTGTTTTTTGTAATGGAACAGCCTATATATTAATTGATTTTCGGATTCTGGGAGAAAAATAAAGGTGAGTTTTATAAAAGAAGTATATGACTAAAATGTAAGGTTTTTGACATATTTAACATTTTCTAGAAATAAAGAACAATTTTTAAATTACAATAAAACTACCTAAATTGGTAAATTTCAGTTAACCTGACGGTATAGTCTAATATATAGTTAAATTAACTATTTTACTTTAAATCAAATTAAAACTTGATCCAAAAAGTTATACAGGGTGAGACAAAATTAATATTGACCATTTATTTTAAATAGAACACCCAGTATATTATTCCGATATTCAATGGAGAATTCATGTCTCTTCAAAATAATATTAAGGTTGCCTACCCCTCAAACAAAGATTTTCCTAGATACTTTCATTTACATGATTTGATCTGAGCAGATTTTTATTATTTGATAAAATCTAGGTGGCTGTGATATGACTGACGTTACTTCAACATAGCTGTCTAATTAGTCCAAATTTAACAACTAGTTATCATCTTGTATCAGTTAAAACAAAAAAAAATTGTCAGAAATTTGCCGAAAATGCAAACTTATCCTACATCAGAGAGAATTGATATGATTCTATTAGTTGGTCAATGCAGTGTGCATTCACCTATTAAAAGAATACTTAAATGCACCTAATTTTGTCTAGTCTGTTTTTTTACGGAAATATGTTGAAGACAGTGTTTAAAAAACTCGACCAACTATTTTCGACAACATGAGAGAAATTATTGTAGCTGCTTTTCGAGGTAGAACTCCACATAATGCCTTTTAAAAGGAAAAGATCCCTTTGAAAAGACAATCACTTTGTGTAGTTAACAGGAAAGAATAGGGAAAGGAAAAATAACTATTTTATTTTGTAGATTTTTCTTGCAGCGCAGTGGCGAAATACCCATAAAGGATTTTTTTTGGAGAAATGAATCCGCCCCATAGGTATAGACATTTTGTTTTGTTTATGCTTATTTTGAAACCATGACTCTGACTAATATTGTTAACGCTGTCCACCATTGGTATTGTAATTCTTTCAATCTAGCTATAGGAGCACCGTTTCGTCAGGATGTTATTAATAATAGGTTTATCATTCACCTTTATTTCTACCGTATGATCGAAAAAAAACGGCGTCCAGTTGGCTGGGAAATGAACATCAATGACATTTCCCATATAAATTTACATATAAAATGACAGCGATCGTCATTCCATAGCCATCGCTGACGCCGTTTTTTCTCGATCATACGGTACTTCTAAATCTTCCAACGTCTCCTGGAATATTCATTCAGAGTATAAATTAAATAGAAGACAATATCATTTCTGTCTGACGCCTTTAAGAATGTTTATATCTGATGTTGACGTATTTCCGATTTTTACATGAGCTGACGAGCTGACTGATTCCAATATAAGTTTCAAATAATTCTTATTTCTTTTCCATCTAACACGATCTGTTTGAGTAAATGTATTAGCTTGTTGTGTCTCATGTTATCAAATACCCTCTCATAATCAATGAAACAGGCGAAGGCACTTGTATACGGGTCGAGGCATTTTTGGACTAAAACCTATATTGAGAACAAGGCATCTCTGGTTGAGTCTGAACAAAGCCGAATTGAGTTTCAGTTATATTTTTATCGATCTTTCTTTATAGTCTCTATAGTGCAAGACACACAGAAACACTTTTAACATATGACACACAAAGGTGCGTTTAGTACACATTCGTTCGCGCTCACGGCTCCGTTTAAATTTAAAAAAATATTTTTCGACGAATGAAGTGATCCACTTGTGCACGAACAGCAGAGTTGTATTGGTGAACATACGCACGCACGGACACAAAATAAATTGCCGGTGCAAACTAAACGTTAGCACACACATAAAAGACCGACAGCTTTTCCATTTTTAGATTCTGTCAAGGCTTTAACTAATTCCTCTTTTAGTATTTCTGGCCCGTCTAAGTAATTGTCCCATTGATCTGTTGACTCTCGATAATCATTAAAACATTTCGTTATGTAGGCTCCAGATATCCAATTAATCCTGTTTATCTATCACTAGTTTGTTTTTATCATCTTAAGTTTGTCCGGTATTGTATGTTTATATTTCATATCAATTAAACTTTTAGTTGCGCAATCGAGGGCGCGATTTTTAAATTCATTGTTGCCAACCATGGATATATTCGCCGCCGGCTGACAAACTGGAATTTAAATATCCCGCTGGAGATTCAGGTTCTCTCTCTTCAGAGATTCATTTCTTTATTTATTTCTTCACATTGTCATTCGTTTTGACACTTTAGTTTTCTATTACGAGTTCTTGGTTTAAATTATTAAAACTTAAAAATAATTACTAGCAGACCTTACAGTCGAACATTGTTTTTAGAATTTCTTTAGTGCGAAGTGTGCAAGATAGCTTAATAATCGTAAAAAACTCATCGCAACTTTATTAGAATATTTTGAACGGGAAAGCGGTAGTAATGGCCCTTTATGTCCTTTAAGCGCTATTAAGACGGTGAGTTTTGTTGATGTAAATAATAACTGTTTATATATTTATAATTAATTTATTTTTGTTTCCTGAAATATTTTGATTAAAAGAAAATATTGTAAAAGTGGGCAATACTTTGCCCGTCAAACTTAATCACGTGACTAAAGGTTTATACGAAAGTTGGTATGAACTTGGTTGGTGAAAGATGTTTTTAATTAACCTACATATGTAGGCTGCCAAAAATTTCATTTTGATATAAATTACCATTCTCCTTGGAGCCCTCTGTATTTTTACTTTTGTTAGTCTATAGCATAGTATCTTATCTATGGTCTATAGCAAAGGTCTATAGTATAAAACATAAAACGTCAAATATTTTTTGTAATTACTAAAACATATAACAACATTTTAAATGACTAGGCAATAAATTTAATGTCAACGTTTATTTAATCATAAATTATTAATTTTGATATAAACATAACGACTAACTAGTGGCATTTTTCAAGTAAGCAATAAGATCTTTTCGTTCCTGTTCCTTTTTCAATCCGGGAAAAACCATTTTGGTTCCAGGAATATATTTCTTTGGATTCTCCAGATACGTATTCAACGTATCGTCGTTCCAAGTTACTCCCCTCTTCTTATTCGCATCCGTAAACATGAAACCAGAAACCGTTCCAGATTTTCTTCCAAACAATCCATTTAAATTTGGTCCTACTTTATGTTTTCCGCCTCTTTCCACCGTGTGACACTGTGCGCACGATCTCTGAAAAATGGACTTGCCTTTGTCCGCATCGCCCATGATAGATGTGATGAATAATTATTACTCGAAATTTTGACAAATGGAAATGACAAATTAGTGTAACGTCATTGTTTGTCAGTCAGAGGTGACTTTCAATTGATGTAGGTAGAGGGAGTATACCTGGGTATATTAAATATGTGCACTTTAATTTGTTTATTTTATATGGTTTTAGGATATTTTTTGCATACAATATATTAACAAAGTTTAAACAGCAAAATAATCACACCACAATCAAAATCTGCTGATGTTTCTAAGGCTAAGAACATAGTGGAGCGACGAGGACAGCGGCGAGCAAGCAGCGCGACATCGCGTCCAAAACAAACCAGTGCAGTAAAGACAAGTACGTGCGAACATAGTAAAGCGATCCGCAACTTTGCGTATACGCATCACGTTTATTGTTATATGGCTTTTTCGGAGATGCGAGCGATATTTGAAGATGCGAGTGGTCAAGAATAGTACGTGCGAACATAGTAAAGCGATCTACTATATAGTCGAGCGGTTAGATCGAGCGGCGAGATCGATTCAAATAATTTTGTTTTCGTCGCTCTGTCGCGCTGTAGAAAATTATTGATTCCCAAAAATTAATAGATTAACTATTTGTAAGAGAGCTTTTATGGGATTAGAAAGATAGTAATCACCATAACCGGTACATTTTAGATAAGTTATGAGATGAAGTGGCAACAAATTTTCGTAAAGGTTATAAAACCTGCCATACTTTCTCGGGTTTTTGAAAACTTCATCTAACCAAATGTTTGCGACATTATTGCCCAGAATTTTAGCCACTGTTAACATTTTAAATTATCAATAAGCAAATGAAAATAATAAATTTGCACAAGTAGGTATCTCGCTATTCCTAGCCGCTCTACTATGTTTCAGCCACCTCGAGGCTTGTTCGACGCGGTATCGCGCTGCTTGCTCGCCGCTATCCTCGTCGGTCCACTATGTTCTTAAAGTGGCTACACACACCACTGCAAGCTTGACAAGCATGCATGAAAAACTTTTTTGTACAAGCCATGCATAATTTACCTTCGCCGCCACACGGTATATGCATGCTTGAACAAGCTTCAGTTTATGCCGCGAAAAAGAAAGAGGAAGTCCGAACAAAAAGAAGAAGGAATCCTGAAGGCATTTATCTTTTTAATAACGGCATCCTTATCGGCTTGGCTGTCAATTAATCTATACTTATTAAGCAAAATTTTGTATGCTGCATCCTTCTTCACCCTATCATGATATTCTGGTGATTTAATTCACCAAAGACACGGCTGATTTTCGTATGCGCGAATAAAATCTTCCGATAATCATCGATTGCTCCTTTTCAGATCGCTAGACATGATGGCGACGCGACGTACAGGTCATTTACGATCACGGACTGAACTAATTGTTTATACAAGCTGAATACATGTGGTACACACGTACCGTTTCGCTTGCGCAAGCATGGCTTGTCCAAGCTGGCATGACTCAAATTCAATCAATCATCAAGTGGCTTGCAGAATTAAAATGCTTGCGCAAATTTTCCCTACAGACGCTACAATTTGCTTGTACAAAGAAATTGTCCATGCATGCTTGTCAAGCTTGCAGTAGTGTGTGTAGCCACCTTTAGCCTAACACGGTTAGCGAAACGCGCGTTCAGTTTTAAAAATAAAGTGTTTTGGTGTATTATACCGTATGATAATAGATAATAAGATATAATATATATATATATATATATATATATATATATATATATATATATATATATATATATATATATATATATATATATATATATATATATATATATATATATATATATATATATATATATATATATATATATATATATATATATATATATATATATATATATATATATGAGATAATATGAAAAAACATGTCAACGATGGTTATGAAATGAAGATCGCTGTCATTTTATATGTAAAATTATATGGAGAAATGTCATCGATATATGAAAAAAACGGCGTCAACGATGGTTATGAAACGAACATAAAAAAGTACATATACATGGTGTTTCATTTTCGTGTGTTTTACAGTTTTTTTTGAATAGAGATACAAAGATGTCGCTTCCATATCTCTCTGCTACTTTTTTATGAAATTAGAGAAGCTGCAAGTTCCTGAAATACAGGGCTAATTTGAAAATGTTGCAGTTTTCGGCCACCTTCCTATCTCGGTTATCTTTTATGCGGAATCTAGTGGCGTAACTAACTTTTCACGGAAAACTGTGATTTTCGAAATATAAATCATAATTATTTTTTTAAAATGGGAGACCCGAAACAAGAAACCTTATCATCAAAATCATTAAAGCACACAAACAGAAACAGACACCCTATACATAACAGTTATTGAACACATGTCTTAAGAATAATTATATACCGACTGTTTTTTATCCCGTAATCATTTTCAAATGAAACTATTTTAATATTATTTAAATAATTATTTTCTACAGAAAATCTTCTTTTCGTGTGGTGTTTTTCATAACGTGACCAATTTAGCCAAATAAATTATTATGCTCTATTTCTGAAGTGTAAAGCTTCAAACTTATTACAAATTATCCTCACATTATCGAGATATGATTACAATTATCGTGACATGCAAACAATTTGTACAGACAAGATACGGAAACAACCTATTCACACCATTCATTCTGTTGTTTTCTTTTTAAATGCTGTAATTATAAATAGTAAAATAATACTTTTAGCAAGGTTAAAAAAAATATTCATTTTCTGGGTGTACGAGATGACATGCATTCTTAAGAGGTATTTCTTGTTAACCATAGGTTAAAAATATCCTCACTCGAAATAATTACTTTCTTTAGAGTCGTCTCGAACTTGGATCGAATCTCCCTGCACACCACACTCCACACTATTTTCTACTAGAGATGGGTAGTTCCGGATGAAATGCATCCACGGACCTCTCTCCGGTACCGGTAGTGATGGATACATATCCTACTTAATATCGACCCCTATCCGCTGAACCCCATTACTGACAGCCAGGGTTCGGAAAACTACATGTTATTTTAAAAATTACATAAACTACATTACATGTAGTTAATGCAGAGGGTGTAGCTTATGTAACTTATGTATGTAACTTTCAAATATCAAAGGTTTGAGGTGAGGTTTTAATGAGCTGAAGCTTAAAAAACACATAATGTATTTAAGAAAACAGAAGAAATATGGTTTTAAATATAATATTTACATCATATTATCTCTATTACATCTCATACAAAGGAAAATTATTCATAATATCAACACATAGTTTATTAACGTAGTTTTCATGTAGTTAATAAAGGGAAAAACTACACGTAGTTAATCAGGTAAATTACGTCTTAATTAACTACTTTCGAACCCTGCTGACAGCCAACCTTTGAGCCAACCGGCCACGTCGTCGGCAACGCAAACATAACGATGCAGCGAAATAAATCAGTATTGGAGAGTATTGGAATAAAGAAGGAATTGTAATTGCTGCTGAGTTGTGTTTACTGTTTTTTAAGTTTACTTTCGCGGAATCGTAACCATATCTTGGAGGGAAAAGAGGAGAAAAAAATGACTAAACGAGGTCCACCAAATCGTGGCGATATACCAGTGTTTACCATTTTAGTATGTTGTTATACTAGGTACTTATATTTTTAATACATTTTGATACAAATTCTGTTCTTTTACAGTGTTTTCTTAGTTCTGGTTTCTGCAGTGTAAATAATAATTATTATTGTGTTATTTGCGCTATTGCGTTTCATGATATAAAGAACGTAACACACAAGCGTAATTAAACGTAATACACAAACACTGTGTATCCTACGGCACACTGTGTATCCCTTACTTTGTGTATACGTAAATGCTATACTGTGGCTACATTATGAGGCGGACGTTTAACCTTTGTGCATACGTGTTGAACTACAGTGTGTAAACGTAGCATATTTACATCGGGGGAATTGTGTCACCCTGTGTCTACATCTAATAATGTAAACACATCGTAAATGTGATTTGATGTGCTGTATGGGTCTGCATGTTTATCCCCTTTAAGTTTTCGTGGAAAATATCTTTGTACCTTTTGAGTTGTCCACCTGGTTGTCTCTTACCTTCTACAAGCTCAACGTAAAGCAGAGATTTTGGTAGGCAATTTTCTTGCATTCTGCATACCTGCCCAGCCCATCTTAAGCGGGATTTTCTAATCATGACTTCAACGCTCTTGCAGTTAGCTTTTTCAAGGACCGATACGTTTAAGATATGGTGGAACCATTTGATTCTAAAGAGTTGTCTAAGGTGCCTCTGTTGCAACTTGTTTAATGCGTTCATGTGTCGGCGGTACAGTACCCAGGTTTCACTTCCCTATAACATGGTGGGAATTATTATTGCTCGGTACACTGCCGGTGGTCTTAAAAATATTACCTGTTAAATGACGATCAATGAAATCCCTATACGGCGACAACAAGCGGTCTCAACTATCTTTTATTATTTATACTATGTAAAATTCGTAATGCATTTCCTCATAGTCATAAATTTGAAACTTAAGGTATCTCTACTAAATAAATAGAACAGCTAAATCATGTGATAAGGATTTGTCAAAACGCAAACATCAGATTTCCCTAACGGACTACAAAATATTTAAACGCGGATTGCTTCATGCAGAACCAAATTTGGATAAATTAAAATTAAAGGTTAGAATGATATAGATCCGGCGGAACTGGAACCTGGATGCAGGTCCATGAAGCTTGATGTAGCTCCGGATCTGACTCTTTTAAAAGACCGGATCAACCCATCTCTACTTCCTACGTAAATTAATAGAAGGCCCACGAACGGATGGTTTGGCGGTAGGGTTGCCACAAGAAAATTTTTGATTGTGCAGAACTTTACCATAAAAAAGTGTAGCATTGTGTGTTAAGTTTTGACTTCACGAAGGACGAGGGACGAACACGAAATGAAACGAGGACTTGGTCTGAGTAGCAACTGGTTTATTGCAGGTTTATTGTGAGTATGCGATTTGCTTAAATACGCGCGATGACATGTTGAGATACAATGGCAATGTTGCCATACTTAACATCTCCCTTTGTCTAAAAACATTTCGCAATTAAGGGA